CACCCATTGGACTGTATGGAAAGAAATCCCACCAAGACGGGGTAGATCTTATAAGCATTCTTATCACAACAACAATAACAATAATAAATAAATAAGAAGGCAAAAGGAATCCCACCAAGACGATGTGGGAGTTACACAAAATGAAATATATTGTACAGCTTAGTGCTTAGACTTAACCATATTGTGTTGTATACCTAAAAGTTTTCTAACAGGGTAGATCTTATAAGCATTCTTATCACAACAACAATAACAATAATAAATAAATAAGAAGGCAAAAGGAAGAAATGTTGAGAAGTGATAGATAGACTTACGGCATAAATTGTGATAAGAGTTTCATAAGTGTGTACTTATCTCTAAACTCATCAAGGTATATACATAAAATATGGATAGCTTTTCATATGTCAATCATACCTTAATAAAGTGGTTTAAAAAAAAAGGTGTCATGAGTCAAGGAGGCTTTAAGCACAAACCTCCTGTGTTTCAGAAAACCTTGGTTTTCAGGTTAAGAATCATGTGCCACAGGGGCAGTAACTTGGATGCTTTCAGGGCCAGTCAGGGAGTACAAATGATTGAAGCAAGCTACAGAAGCAGACCAACAGTTACTCTGCAGAAATGCAGACCCAAGATGGCTTGGTCTCTTGGTTTTTCAGGAAAAGCAGGAAATCCAGACCTTTATGGGAATTCTTCCAATTATAAATGTTGACAACTAATATAAAAATTTATAAACATTATTTAGCAAATGGCCCTCCAGGTCTCTAATTTGTACCTCAGAGAATAGCTAATTCTTTCATTGAGATCCAAGAAACCACAACAAGAAACCCTGGTAATGACACGAAGAAAAGCCTCTGGAAAACCTTCAGCCCTTCTTTCTGCTCACTGGAGGATCCATCCCCTTTCCGCCCTTTTTACTGGCTCTCCCATTTAGCTTGGCAACTGCCCCTGGTCCTGTCTGCTCCAGTTTCAGCCCGTGACCTACCATTTTGATTCCCCTTTTTGACCTCAGCAGCTCTTCTGGATGCTGTTCCACTGTGTGTCATCAGGTCCCACATCATGACCCAAGATCCTCCTGCTTCCTTTCTGGCCCCTTGGAAGGCCCCAGCTTCTCTGCCTCTTGCTGGCCTCCTACCAGGGGACAAAAGGTGGGGAGAACTGAATACAGCCATTGTTCATTTTAATGATAATCATGATCAATAGATATTTGTAGACCATATGACACTTATCAAAGTGCATACACATTCATCATTTCATTTTATTCACATAAACTTCTGAGACAGAGCAGGCCTTTAACGATTTTATAGTTATGGGAATTGACAGGGTAACAAGAGGACAAAGCAAGTAACCAGCTCATCACTAGCCCATCAAGCTTATACTATCTATAGAAGGAGCTATTGCTTTTTTTGGGAAACTTCTTGAGCATGTCTTACAAGAGTCTTTGACAGAATTATGGATACCTGTGTTCTCGGAGGGACTGGAGTTCTGGAGTTGTGAGGATAGGTTGGCCAGTCTTGGTTCCAGTCACAAGCATCATACTAACTCCCTGTCACTGTACATTGGCCAAATGGAGAGTAACACAGCTCCAATTTACTGGAAGCTTCTCAAAATTCCTAAGCGGTAGATGGATACTATAGTAACAGGGCTTCTTCCATCATCTCAACCAATGTGCATCATGATGATCCATGAATGGATCTGCTGTCAACATTTCTATGTTTTCTCTTTGGGTGGTCAAGTTATTCCCAAACCTGACCTTCAGTGTTCTCCATGTCTGAAACCATAAAAATCAAACTCACTGGAATAACACCCAATGTCCTTCAGAGGCTGGCTCATCCTTTTATTCTATTTCCATTATTTGCCTCTAAATTAGGTTCCTGCATCCAAGTCCAGTGTGTGTGTTTGTGTTGTAGTCTTCGCCCTACAAATAAGCAATTATTTGACACCAGCAGGGTGTCGAGGAATTAAAATAAATTCTGACACTACCTCCCTGGAGACAGAATCAGAACCACAGGTAAAGAACTCAGTCCTACAAGACTGCCCTCACTTCAGACACCAATCACAAGTTCAGGTTGTCACCTGTGCTTCTGATAGACTGGTTAGAAATCAGAGGTTCCCATGATCCTCTCCTCAGGTTTGATAATTTGCTAGAGTGACTCACAGAACTCAGGAAAACCCATTTACTCACTAGATTAATGATTTATTACAAAGTATATTAAAGGATACAAATCAACAGTCAGATGAAGAGATACACAAGGTGAGATTCTGAATAAAGGAGCTTCTGTCCTCATGGAGCTTGGGATGTGGCACAGTGGCATGTGGAAATGTTCTGGTTTCCCAACATGGAAACTGTCTGAACCTCCTCCTTTTAGAGGCTTCATTATGTAGGCATGATTGATTAACTCATTGGCCATCGGGGATTGATTCAACCTCTAGCCCCTCTCCCATCCCCAGAAATCAGGGGGCGGGACTGAAAGTTCCCACCCTCTATTCATGGTTGTTTCCCTGGCAACCAACTTCCATGCATAGATGTCTTGCTAAAGTCACCTTCATTAACATAAACTCAGCTGTGGTGAAAAGGGATTGTTATAAATAAAAGACACCCATTTCACCTTTATGGCTCTGAAGGAAGTTCAGAACTGAGGGCAAATATTATAAGATACCAAATATTATAAGAAGAGATTTTTCCATTGCTCTTATTGCTCAGGAAATTCCAAGGGTCTTGGGAGCCGTGAGCTAGAAACTGTGGATGAAGACCAAATATATATGAGAAATATACTTTGGTTATCTGAATGACTATATATATATATTTTTTTCTTATAAACCACAATATTGCAGTTCCATTCTTGACCTTTCTATCTTACATACCCCATAATCCACACTCCAGTTACACTGATAAATCCCTAATGCCCAGTTATGTCTTTTACTAATGCTGTTCCCTTTGCCCAAAACCTCTTCCCTACTATCTTTGTCTTACAAGCTCCCATCCATCCCTCAAAGCCTAGCTCAAATGTCCTCTCTTCTGGAGAGTCTTCAACTCCCCTGATGAGTTTTCCTTCTTTTCCTTTGAACTTTCACAGAATGTGGTCCATTTCTTTTCAGCTTAAATTTATTATAAGTATTCATTACTTCTCTGTATCCCTTGCTTGTGAGGTCTTGAGGGTCTTTGTTTTTCAAGCTGTTCCTGGCACATGATGGATAACTAAAGTGTCCTTGTTGAAGGAGAGAGAAAAGTTATATGACAGTAATAAAACTATTTATTGAAAACGCCAGTCATGTGCTAGGTGCTTTTTCAACATTATTTTTAAAACTCACATCAACCTTGTGAGTTAGATTTTATGATCATGGGGTATAGAGAGGTTAAATAACTTGCTCAAGGACACACAGCTAGTGGATGGTGAGCATTAATTTGAGCACAGGTCTGTATGATTCTTCCAATAGGCAATACTGTTTTCTACTACTCCTATCTAGCCAAAGTCCCTGCCCAAACTTTCCTTCCATGTGCTCAGAGATTCTGAGTGCTTCCACCTCCTCCAATCCCTGCACCTCTCTCCAGCTGAAGAGGTCTTGGAACACAGGGATCTGGCATTCCCTGGCCTGACTCTGAGACAACTCTCTATCTCATCCAGCCTTTATGTTTGAAGCCAAGGGAGGGGAGGAGATACAAATGAAAATGGGAAGAGCTGGTTTCACTAAAAATTGTGGGATTTAAGAAGTACAGATAGCACCATATGGAACCCACTTAACAACAAGTAATAATGAGAAAAGGAGAGAAGGCCTCCCCACCAACCTTGCAAAGAGTCAATACGTATACACTAAGGGCTCAAGAACACAGCTCAGCCCTGGGTCTGTGAGGGCAGCCCCCAAGCAATGGCTTCAGGAGGGCCATTAGCTCCAGAAGGACACAGTCCTCAAAGTGGCAATGGCGACCCACTGCTCTGAAGCTCCAGGAAGCCACACCAACAGTGGGAGGTGGTGTAATGTGACATGCTTAAGAGTGTTAGCAGACAGGTCTTGGCAGGGACTGTGTGGTGTTCATAGAGAGCCCTGGCAGCACACACCAGTAAGGGGGTTGGGGATCAGGGAAGAAGAGAAGGAAAACGATAAGGGTACATATAAGAGGACCCCTAGAGAGATGCCCAGACATAACTGGGAATGATTCTGAGATGGAAATACAGCAACAGTAGGTGGCAAAAGAACCAGAGAGACACTGTGTGTTACTGTTATCTAGTCCTATTTTTATCCCCAGTACACTTAGGTGTGGGAAAGTGCAAGTTGACATGCATCTTTATGGACCTTATTGTATACCCTATAGTGCTTTATTCGATTCACTTATTCACTCACTCAACCAATATTTATTATAGTCCAGATATGGTGTTACCATTCACACAACCATCACGGTGTAACTGTATACTGATTTCACTACAGCCTCACCAACCCAGAATGGAAAAACTCTCATGTTTACTGTTAGTAGTTTTATTTAATGGTTTTTAAATACCTAAAAAATCTAAGTACTGGCTAATAACTTTTGTCCTAATTTCAGAAATGTGTAATTAGATAAACATTTTTCAAGGTTATACAAATTAAATGTCACAAATTAAATTATCAAAATGTCACAATTATCCCAATATGGGCTCTCAGTGAATATTGGGAATGTGTGGATGCATCCTTCCCCAGTCTGGCTGGCTGCAGCCTAAGCCTCTGCACCATTCTTTTTCTAGATTCTTAGTGAGGACTAACCAGGGGTGGCTTAGAGGTTCCCAAAACTTGGTGCATGAAAAGTAGAACATGTTAAGCTCAGTGAACGCTTGCTGGGGAATGAAGGAGAAATGGTGTTTTTACTTTCTTGCTTTCCTTTTTTCCCCCTTGAATAATCCAAATAAACTGCATTCAACCTTTATCAAGATGGTTCTGAGTGTCATGGTACTGCAATAAATGCTCTAGCTCCACCTCCTGGGAGCTTCCATCATCCTAAATCTAACTCCATCTGTGTTTTTGTTCTGAACCACCAGGGCCCTCACACTGCAGAAATATCCTGCAGTCCACCTACCATCATCCTGACTGGGGAGGCCAGTTCACCAGAAGGAGAAACTGATAAAAACCTAGTCAACAGGTACATTCCATGTGCCTAATCTTTGTGCTGTATAGAACAATATTCCCTACAATATGAGGATTAAACAGATAGATAGATAGATAGATAGATAGATCTTCTTCATTGATCATTTTATTGATGAAATACAATCAAGCACTTTTTCCAAATGTAAGCAAAAGCTTGGGATTTTTTCCATTATCTCCCCCACCCCCAAATTATTTTTCTTCTCCTGGATCTGGCTCTTTGCACTTTAAGAAAAGCACAAATCATGCAGGCAGTTTTGTATGATAACTGCCCAGATATTTGCAAACAGACCTGAGAGATATGAGTCTTTGACTGGAGAATCCTGCCCCTGGCCGAAGTGTGTCCTGTGTGGAAGATGAACCAAGGACATTGGCTCATATACACAGGGATGTCACTGCCTCAGTTTGGCACAGCACTAGTACATGCATTGGTTTAACTGGAATAAGATTGTGTAAGTATAGTTTCCAAAAAGCTACAAAGACCATTCTCATACAGATATATAGTGAGCATGTGTCAAAGATTTCTTGAACTCATTGACAAGGGAACCATGAGGATAACAAAGCCAGTTCAAAAGAGGATATAAGAGATGGAAATATGTATATAATCAGTGAGGAGGAAAAGAATGCTGGAATAAGATCGCTAAGTTAGACATAAAATAGGTTAATATTCCACAAGGCAATGAAACCTTGTTTTTTATCTTTATTCTCCAGAAATCATCTACATCTCTTCCAGACAATTATTCACATTTTATGAGTTTTCTACAGTTAGATGTTCACTCAGTCTGGGCCCTAATGAACAGTAAATAGTCAAAGTTACATTTCCTTAGGGAAGTGTTTCAAAAACCTTAGCAAGCATCAGAATCACCTAGGGGGCATGTTCAATCAAGATGTCTGGGTCCCACCCCCAGAGTTTCTGATCCATTTGATCTGGGGTGGAACCTGAGAATTTGCATTTCTAACAAGTTCTCAAGCTTAGACAAGCTTGAAAGGTGATGCTCTAGGACGACTTTGAAAGAATATACAGGTATCTGTGTGTTTACCAGTTGTGGACAAATTTGCTTAAGATGACTCTGTTCTGTCTTTCAGAGCTCACAGTCCCCATAGGAGGCTTTCTCACCGAAACTTGAAGGTTTCCACTGTTTCACTGACTTCTGTGGGTAAGGGCTAGTCCAATTTATCTTATTTCTGTAGAGACAGGGGTCCGGCTGAAGTTGTGTTTGAGCAGGAAGGCTAAGATCTGGCAGCTTAGCCAGGCTCAGCCCCTTCCCCTCTCTTAATTCTCAGGCAGGTCCATAACTATGAGCCCAAGAGGGCAAAGTCAGTCTGCCCCTCTGTGTTTGAGCCCAGAAGAAGTATGATATCTAATTATAATTTATTTGGTAAAAAGACAAGGCCAGGGGGTAAAGAAAAAGATGAGGAAGTCAAAGAGAATACAGCTGGGTGAGGCTCAATTCTGGGGTTCAGGGGGCAGAGGCCTCCACCTCCTGCTAGAAAGGCCCACATCCAGGTAGGTACGTGCCTGAATGCAAGCATGGCTGCCCCAACCACCAGGTAATTCTCCAAGTGGTTTCTCAGGGTCTGTTCTGGACCATTGGAACAGAGATGTCATACAGATTTGGTCTCTGCTTTCATGTTGCTCATAGTCTATGAGCAGACTAAGACGTGAACAGATATAATCAAGACACTATATTTTAAGGCCCTTCACAGAAGTGTTAGGGAAACTGAGGCAAGAAGGGGACCAATTCTGTCTGGGGAGGGGGAAGGCTGGATAGGGATTCCAGATGAAAGAGTATTTGAGTTGTACCTCAGAGAGTTGGACAGACAGACAAGAGGAAGAAAAAGCATTCAAGGTGGAAGAAACAACATGGTAGAGATGCAGGAACCATAACAGAGTAACAGAATGACTGAATGTTCTGATGTGTGTATTAGGGTCAGGGCTCTTTCAAATGCTAGAAACCTGACTTAAACTCTTACACCAAAAATACATACATACATACATACATTCATACATAAAAATAAATAAAAGCCAGGTTTTGTGGTTTCAAGGAGTGCTGAATCCAGGTGCTCAAGTTGGGTCATTAGTAATTGGTTTATCCCATTTCTAAAGTTTCATGTGTTTGCTTCTTTTTTGTTTGTTCATTTGTTTTTTTGTTTGTTTGTTTGCAAATGGCTACCAGCAACTCCAGGCTTATGTTGCATCAGTGGAAATAGAGTGCTTCTTCCTGTACACTCAACACAATTCTAAGACTTGCCTCTTCCTGGCCTCCCATGGCCATCCTTGAGTCAATCACTATGGCCAGGGGGATTAAACTCATTGACTAGCCAAGGCTGGGGTGAGGTGGGGGATAGGATTTATCTTCTTCCTAACTAACATAATTGAGACTCAGAGGAGTTTCATCCAAAGCAAACTGGGGAACTACAACCAGAAGAAGGGGAAAAAGGGAGGCTGTAGAGGCACAATGAGAGCTATTCATCACAAAGGGGGATGGGAGGGAGCTTAGGAGAAATATGTGGGATGGGCAAAAGTGCTGGGCCAAGTTTGGCTTTTGCACCTGACTAGGGACCATGAGGAATCCTGATGAGGTAAGGCAGGAGGATTGCAAGGTCAGATATGGCTCTTAGGAAAATCACTCTGATAGGCAGTGGAAGATGGGATGAAGGGGAGAGCCTGAAGGTAAAGGACCTAGGAAGTGACTGTTGTAATTGTGCAGGTGAGATCTAAGAAACAAGAATGGAGAGGAGGCACAATTTCCAGAGATATTTATGAGGTAAATGATGATCAGGACTTGATGATCAGTAGATGGGACATGAAGAGACTGAGGAAAGAGTGTGGAGTGACTTCCATGTTTCTGAGCAGCTGGGGAAAGTGGTGTCATTCACCCAGAGAAGACCTGCTGGAGAAGAGGCAGTTTTGGAGAAGGATGGGGGTAGACAGTGTGAGTAGAGGAAAGAAGGGAAGGAAGGTGGCCATGATCTTTGGAGTGTTCCCTTTATCCACACATCTTAAGCTCACTAGCTTGTTGAAGAAACAGAGACCTGAAGGATGAACACACTAGGGAAACAGCATAGAGGTGGAGCTCCTGATGGCTTTCCCTAATGGCAGAGTTTAGGACAGTACTGGGAACCTGTTACAGAGGACTTGCCACAACCACAGACTACAGGCAGCCCTATCTGTCTGAGGCAGCCCTATCTGTCTCCCTAGCCCAGCATTAGGGCCAATGTTTGGCTGGCTGAGTCCACTCTGGGCAGCTTCCCTGGGCTGGGGTGTTGGGGGACCAAGGATCCCATGGCTCTTGCCCCATGTTCACCCTCCCACTGCAGACCCTGCAGGGCACATTATTGACCTGGTACATGATCAGCTGCCAGATATCAGCATCTCAGAGGAGGACAAAAAGAAAAACCTGGCACTGCTGGAAGAAGCCAAGTTGGTGAGTGAACGATTCCTGACTCGCCGCGGGAGGAAGTCCAAGAGCTGCCCCGGAGACTCCCAGTCAGGTAGGATGCACAGGTGGCTTCCCTGAGCACGTCCAAGGTGAGGTGGGGGATAGGGAGGTCCAGGCTCCAGTTGTGGGAGCTCTGCTTCCAAGAGGTGGCCTTTGACTTGCCTGCCCCCAGGCCTCTAGACCCTAGGAGGACTGAGTCCTGTGGAAGGAATCTTGTGAGGAGAAGACATCTTACTCTGTTTCAGAAGCTCTAAAAATACTGATCCCACTTTAGTTCAGAAAACTCTGCTTTTCATTTTTTAGGCCTATTGTGTTTTTGTTTCAGCAAGAAATGTTAGCCCATATGATACCCATGAATTTAGCATGGGTTTCCCCTCCCTGAATCCTGCATAGAGAGAAATCCCTGTGTGATGCCCGTGTGCACAGGCTCCTGGACCACTCTGCATGGATGGAGTCCTCCTGTGGTAGGAGCCTTATCTGGGAGTCCAGAATCAGTCCCTGTCCCTGACGAAACGATCCTAGTTCCCAGGGATCAGATATACCTGAAAGGATGTCTTTGTTTAGCTGAAGTTGTAAACCTTCACAAATGCTGGCCAGTTTGTGTCTGTTTCCACAGCTGTTGCCTTGAACCTCAGCCCCGGAGCTTCTCCCGCATCCTCTCAAAGCAACTCGCTTACTGTTCCCACGCCGCCTGGTGAGGTCCAGTGCCCCTGGCTTCTCCCTTTGGGTGGCAGCTGAGCCCCTCCCATGGCCTGAGCAGGATGCCTCCTATCTTGCAGGCTTTCTAGTCAGGACCCCTGTTTGGTCTCCTCCTCAGAGGGCTCCCAGCTAGGCCTGGCTGGGCTGGCTCTGAGGAGGTGGATGTACTTTCTATTGGGGTTCTGAGCTCATGCGGGGAGACAGGCCTAGCCCAGGATGAGGCCAGGTAGGAGAGGATGGAGGCAAGGTTGTGGGAAGGAGGCTAAAACTGGTGCTTTCTCTGCTAAGAGAGGACTTGCAGAGAGATCACCTCAGAGCTTATTTAGAAAGGCTTCTATTTGGACCACTCTTTTATTTTTTGGTTTCTTCCCTTTCATTAGGCTGTGTATGGGGCCATACCCTCAAACCGGCTCAGAAAGGGGCATGGTGCCAGGAAGAGCGGCATGCCCTTGTCTGAGTTGTGGGGCAAGCTCAGGCTCCACTCAGGCAGCCTGGGTTCAATTCCCAGTGCTGATACTTCCTGGATACATGGCCTTGATTTCCCTCTGCCTCAGTTTCCTCATGTGGTTTTTATGTTGATTAAATGAGGGCTCACCACAGAACCTGACATGTGGGAGACACTCAACAAATGGTGATGTTACTGGCAATCAGGCCTGAGGGAACTGGGGGAGGACATTCTGGGGAAGTAGATGTGTTTTTGCTAAAGAATCAGCTGACAGTCTGGAGTGCTGGACATCACTCACCAGTGTCTGGACCATTCCAGGTTTGGATGCATGCAGTGGCCCAGAGTCTCCTTTGCTTGGAGCACCACCAAAGGTAACAGGGGCCCAGTTTGGGGTTTCTATGCCACCTGGTCTCTCTTCTTATCCCTTAACCCCTGTAAGACCCTCCATGATGTACTGAGATGAGGGTTCTGGGAGGGGGAGACATCTATTACCTCTAGAGGCCTCTTTGAGGGTATTTCAAGAGGAGATATGATTTCTTCACATTGCTATCTGACTTGTGTTTACTTTGTCCAGCAGAAGGGGGATGAGGCCGAAGTCTCTTCACCTCATCTTGGCGAGCCTGTGAGTGTGAACTCTGCCCAATCTGCATGATTCAGGTGGGGGAGACACTGTTCCAAAAGCCTAGGCTGGCCCTGGGCAGCCTGCGAGTGGGTGTACATGAGTGGAGGGTCAAGGCTGGGGAGCTGGAAGGTTCCTCTGTCCTATCATGATGGGAATTCTGAAGTGGAGGGGGGTAAGGAGGCAGGATTCAGTGGGGATCACCTCCATGGTGGCCCTGCTTATATCCCTGCACCCTCACTCAGGCCACTAGCCAGAAACCAGGGGGATTACTAGGCCCAGCAGCAGTCAGGCAAGACTGCTGCTTTTTCAGCTCTAGTGAAAATTGCAGTAAAGTTCCAGCCCCTGGGTAGGATTCTTCCTGGGGGCAGCCTGGAAAATCTCACCTTTGCTGATGAGCACTAGAAGGATACCACCCCTACTCAGAGCAAAGTGCTCAAGGTGGTGTCGAGGGCAGCATAAAATATAATATCATCTAGAACTGGGGCTGGAATAGAGTTCTCTTGGAGAGTTTCAGTACTCACACAAGATAGCCACACAAATACCCCAACATAGACCTCTAGGCTCCTCACAAAGCAGGTTTCCTTCAGGAAATAAAATAAGAATGCAGAAAGATATCACTTTTGCAAGAATCACCTGATTCAATGGTCTTTAACCTCTTTTGGATCATGAAACTTTCTGAGGAAGTATTGAAAGCTGTGGATTCTCTTCCCAGAAAAACATAACACGTACACATAAACACACATATACATTTTCCATAATTCCAGAGGTTACCAAATCTGATGAGAAATTGAGTCCCTAAGAGTTAAAGTCCTTGCCAAGAAGAGTCAGGACTAGAAACCAGAGCCACTGAGTCAAGGCCAAAACTTGTGGCTGCCCCCAAGCTGCCCTCTATTCACTGTCCTCCACAGATCCTAGCCCTTGGGAAGTTCTTGGCAAATTGTGTATGGCAGGTCCCCTTGTCCTGTCTATTTTATAGACCTCAGGCTTGTCTGTGGATCCCTTTTACTGGTTCAGACTTGACTGAGAAGTCCTCCCCTAGCACTTAGTGCACACACAGGCACACATACACACAGGCACCTTAGCAGGTCTGTGGGGGCAGAGGCCTCACAGTGGAAGTGGCCACACCTCTTTCCTCTCTAGCCTGCCTCTATAGTCCTAGCTCTACCTTGTCTCTTTCAGAAGAATGTCTCCAAAGGGCTAGCTGACCGGAAGCAGAATGACCAGAGGAAAGTGTCTCAGGGCAGGCTGACTCCTCGTTCTCCCACAACTGAGAAGTCCAAAGAAATTGCAATTGAACAAAAGGAAAACTGTGATCCCCTCCAGTGCTCTGAGGCCACACACAAGGGCTCAGCTTCCAGCATAGGCAGTGGTGGGAAAATGGCCTTGAATAGTCCTCAGCCTGGTCCTGCTGAAAATGACCTGGGAAAGGTGCTTCTGAAGACGGCCAGGGAGGGCAACCCTCTGCCTAGAGGTCCAGCCCAGGGTTCTGGAGGGGCAGCTCCCCTGGCCCCCCAGGAAAAAGGTACAGCTGGAGAGCCGACAGGGTCAAAGTTTGGCTCCAAAGCTGAGCTGCGGTCCCCTGCTTCTCGGCCACCCCTATTGAGGGGGGTCTCCTGGGACAGTGGTCCTGAAGAACCTGGCCCCCGGCTGCAGAAAGTGCTTGCCAAGCTGCCTCTGGCAGAGGAAGAGAAGCGTTTTTCGGGCAAAGCTGGCAGCAAGCTGGCCAAGGCGCCTGGACTCAAAGACTTTCAGATACAAGTGCAGCCAGTGAGGATGCAGAAACTGACTAAGCTCCGAGAGGTGGGTTCCTGAGGGCCAGCTGGGCAGGGTGTACACTCCAGGTCCTTCCTGAGCTTCAGATCTCTGGGCCAAGCTGGACTTGGGGCAAGGTAGCTCTGGCCTGGACTTGGGCCTTATAGGGCCCTAAACTTCCCTACCCTGATAAATCAGGCCCACTCTATAGCCTCTTCTTCATAAGTGCCAGTTTCAGGTGAGTGAGTGTGGGATATAGTTGCCACACAAAGCCACATTTTAAGCCACATTTTAAGGCAGTTATATGGAGGGGCACATGGGCCCTCAGGACTGGGCTGTGTTTTCCTCTCCAGCCAGAGCTGGAAGCTCATAAACAGGAAGCCCTTGATGGAGCACCTTGTCATGCCTAGGCCTGGGATAGGCAAGGACGGAATAGCTTTTCCCTTTGTCAGGCCCCCCAGCTTTCCTTCCTGATGCCTGTTGACAAAGGGCCTCAAATCCATCTTCAAGGATAATGATGGCCATGAGGGACTGCTCCCACTGTGGTGAATTTCTTCCAATGTCTGTGACGTCCCCAACTTTCACTGGCCACCAAACTAGGCACAGTAGCCTCTCATGGGGCTGTCACCCTGTGCAGGGGGATATTGGGAGTGTCCAGCGATGTAGGGGACAGAAACAGGGTGTGGGGGCAACAAGAGGTTAACAGGACAAAGGAATCATTACCCAGTCCTCTCTTCCCCAGAGGGCCAACCCAGGCTGCAGGTCAAGGCAACTGGGATTCCATGGGGTGGGACCTGGCACCCTCATGGCCGGAACTGGACAAGGCTCTCCTGGCTCCCCTGCAGAATGGGTGTGAGATGGGGAAGGAAAAGAGGTATCTGATAGTGGCCAAGCACAAGAGAGGAGGTTTCTGTGCTAGCAGGGACACATTGCAACATGTCCTATTCAGAAACCTTCATTGCTATTCAGAAACTTTCCACAAGGCTCTGAATTGAATGCTCTGGGGAGCTGCTAAGGAAACAGGTAAAGGGCCCTGGCCAATTACTTTCATTTGGGCTATGAGCACCCTCTGCTGGCCCCTTCCCTTCCTTCTTTACACAGGGGGTAAACCACTCAAGTGGCCCCTGCTATACGTGAGACTGAAGATCCCTTTGTAAGCACGATAAGGGGCGAGGAAATCTGTCAGACATTGGAAATGCTGGTCTGGTGCTGATTGACTTGGAGCAGGTGTGAGCCTACCTGTGCCATATACATGTGGTTGGCATCCCCATCTCTCCTGGACTTTGACTGCTGTGGCCCCAGGCAGTATAGTGGGGTGGCAATTCTCAGGCCTCATTTGTCTGGAGAGTTTAACAACTCAAGGGATGCCATAACAGGCCACTGGGGAACTGGGAGAGAAGTTGTAATTCCTGGGATTGGGCATTCACTGCCCTAAACAGCAGGGCTAGAAGCTCTAGCCAGCTCAAAGCACAGTCATGAGCCCAAGAAAGATCATTTCCAGCGGGAGCTTCATACACATCTAGGGGACAATGCTGTCCCCAGGGTCCTGGGATCTGCTTCTGTTTGTTGTATAGCTCTCAGCCACAGTGTGGCTGGAGCATTTGCCCAGAGGCCCACAGGCTTATTTAAAAGTCAGACCATGCCAAGGACAATTCTTAACTCAAGGAATGTGGTGCTAATGGTGGGTTTTCAGGCACCTTTATGGGCTGGGAGAGGAGCAGTCTTCCAGGTGCCTTTCATATATCACCACGTTATGATTGTCCAACCACCTTTGAGGCTGCCCTTAGTACCTCCCACATGAAGCTGAGTGAACACAGGCCCAAAGACAGAACCGAGAGATGAGTTCAGCCTGATGTTATCATCCAAAATGTTGTTTTCTTCTTTTCTTAAAAAGGAGCACATCCTGATGAGAAATCAGAACTTAGTGGGGCTCAAGCTTCCAGACCTTAGCGAAGCAGCTGAGCAGGAAAAAGGTAGGTGTGGTCGGGGCAGATGCTCTTCTCAGGCCAGTGCTGGATTCATTTTCACCAGATCAAAGAAGGTGAATGTGTAAATACTAGACTTCCTGTCAGGGCCTTTGTCCCATTGGCAAGTGTGGGCCAAACACAGAGCAGGCCCTCAGTAAATATTTGCAGATAAATGAATGAATCAGATTATGTTTCCTGCCCACTCAGGAAACTTCTAAACTTGTCTCCTTCCAACCAACCCCCTGCTTCCGGACCCCGCCAGTCCTCTCTGAGCCTTGTTAGCACTTAGTGGGCCTGGAAGGGTGACCCAGGCCTGAACTTTTGACACTTCCTTTTCCTCTCACACCCAGGAAGCTACCCAAATAGAACGGTTCCTCTTTTCAAGACATCAGAGTCATCTCTTGCTTTCTAATTTACTGTCACCATAAAGTACAGACCCCAACCCTTTCCTCCCTGGCCCTTCAAGTCCCCACCTACCTACTCTGCCAGACTCATTTTCAGAAAATAAGACTTTGGGTCTCTTGCCTCCCTCCCTTCCCCCTTTCTCCTGGCTCACCTCTTCTATGGGTTATGCTACCTGTGGTTAGTCTCAGCATAGAAGCTTTCTGCCTAAGGATTGTTGTGTGAGCATGTCCAGGGTGCCACAACCATGTTGGAGGCCCTGATCTGAAATATAGTTAACTAACACCAACCTATTCAACATTAACAAGATTCTCAGAAGTAAAATTTCCAACAATTTTTTAAAGTACTAAATTAAAAAAATTAACCATCTGTAGAGGAAATCTCTGGAAAAGTATTGCATACTTTTCTACTTTTAGTTTTTAATTTGCTTATTAAAGAAGATTCAAAACACTAGGAAAAGATTCAAAACCCCATAAATTCTGAAAAAAGCAATTTTTATTCTTTCCAGTATTTACAATTTTTTCACAATTGGTTTGATTGTGTAGATATAATTGCCTATTTCTACTTTTAAAACTTATTTCATAACCAATTCCATATATTTTGGCTTGTCCTTTTATTTATCATTTGATGGGTATATTATTGGTTATTTCAGATGTTTATAGTTCTTTTAACTATGATTAACCACCCTACTTTAAACAACTTGGTACCTGTAGTTTTTTCTTTCTTCCTTCAAGTTACTCTCTTGGGATAAATTCTCAGCCTTGAGATTCGTTGGGTCAAAGCATAGAAACATTTGCATTTACTAAATTGCTTCCAATGTGGAATGCTACCTGCAAAGACTGAGTGAGGACTCTTCCTCCTAAGAACTACCAGCAATTGACTTTGCTTTGCTTTTATTCCTTATGCGCCAGAATATAGTAAGAACCAGATACCCAATAAATGCCACTTTGCTATCACTTCAATTAATTTGCCAGCAAGCAAGTTCAAATTTAAACATTTTAAATATTTATTTACTGTTTTTTCTTATTGGGTATGTTAGCTTTTCATCTCTTTATCCAAGTGTCCATTTGGGCCTTAGGTTTTTTGTTGGCTTGTTTCTTTTTTGCTGGTAATATATGTAAACTTTATAGATATTAACCTTTCATTGACTATATTTTTTTTCTTGTAATTGATTTCCAGTTTCATACCATTATTATTGGAAAATATGCTTGATATAATTTCAGTCTTCTTAAATTTGAGACTCGTTTTGTGCCCTAACATATGATCTATCCTGGAGAATGCTCTATGTGCACTCGAGGAGAATATGTATTCTATTGCTTTTGAGTGGAATATTCTGTGTATATCTGTTAGGTCCAACTGGTCTGACGTGTCACGTAAGGCCAATGTTTCCTTATTGATTTTCTGTCTGGATAATCTAACCATTAATGAAAGTGAGGGTATTAAAGTCCCTTACTATTATTGAAGTGCTGAAAATTTCTCCCTTTAGGTCTGTTAATATTTGTCTTATGTTGGGTGCATAAATATTTACAAATCTTATATCTTCTTGTCGGATTTGTATTTTTCTCAATACTTTTTCATTCTAACATTTTTCATTTAACGAGTTTTGTTATTGCAGAGAAATTATAAAGTTCTCATAATCATCTTTGCCTATCTTTTCCTTTGAGAAGTCTTCCATTATTTAAATCATTATAAAAAATTATTTCTCCTTGGGGCACCTGGGTGGCTCAGTCGGTTGAGCGTCCGACTTTGGCTCAGGTCATGATCTCATGGTCTGTGAGTTCAAGCCCTGTGTCGGGCTCTGAGCTGTCAGCACAGAGCCTGACGCGGGGCTCGAACTCACGGACTGCGAGATCATGACCTGAGCCGAAGTCGGCCGCTTAACCGACTGAGTCACCCAGGCACCCCCTGTGAAATTTATTTTAAGATATTAGGTATTTGGAGATTTAAGATCCTATTACCTCAATAATATTTTGATAGTATGTATATTTCTTGTTGTTTTGTGGCTTAGACCATCATATACTATATTCTTTGTGTGTGTGTGTGTGTGTGTGTGTGTGTGTGTATATATATATATATATATATATACACATACTAGTCCTGGGCCCTTGATTCTGTTTTATTCTAATCAGTACTGTACCATTTTACTTACTGCTGCCATATAATATGTTCTAGTATGTAGTGAGGTTACTTTTCTCTCATTGATCTTCTTTCTCAGAATATTCATTATATTCTAGATATAAAGATTCAGTGTGAAATAATGGAAAGAACAACTGGACAAAAAGTCAGGAGATTTGAGTTAATGTCCCAGTCCAGGAACCAGCTGACGGGTCTTTAAATATGTTCTTCCGGGGCACCTGGGTGGCTCAGTCGGTTAAGCGTCCAACTTCAGCTCAGGTCATGATCTCACAGTCCATAGTTAGAGCCCTGCATCAGGTTCTATGCTGACAGCTCAGAGCCTGGAGCCTGCTTCGGATTCTGTGTCTCCCTCTCTCTGCCCCTCCCCTGCTCATGCTCTGTCTCTGTCCTCTGTCTCAAAAATAAATAAAAATATTAAAAAAAATTAAAAAAAAAACAAATATGTTTTTCAACCTCTGTTCCCTCTTGGACTAGAGAGGACCTCAGAAGGCTCTTAACTTTAATCTAAGATTCAAGGATTACAAGTCTTTTCTAGTTTTGCCTATACCTATTTCTTACCTACCTTACCTCTTCTTACTTACCTATTTCTCTAAGTGAAATGTATACCATTTTATACCTACCTTCCTATTTCTTTAAGTGAAATTTATACCATTTTATACAAGATTTTAATTGTGATTGCTCTAATGCTACACATTGGATTCAGAAGAACTGTCCTAATTTTGTTTGTTTTTACAGTTTATAGACTTTTAAATTACTTACTTTGAAAACATTTACTTCTCACTCAAATATATGGTTTGTCCCTCTATTGAGTATTCCTTTCTTTTTCCTCTAAAAGATTTGATGTTCTTGTACAGGTCTCCCATTTCTCTTATTGGGGCACATTCTATGTGATTTATAATTTTGCTTGTTTATGAAGAAGACTCTTTTCTTCATTATATTTTCCTAGCTGATAATTAGTGGCATAAATGAATGCTGCTTGCTACTATACATGTTCCTTGTATATTAACAAATGGTAGAGGGATTACTACAGTGACTAGCACAATTACTATAACTAGGGTAATTATTACATCTCAGGTACTAGGCTAGGCATTTGATAATATTGTCCTGATCACTTGCAGGTCATTTCAAGCCAAAGATGTGAGGCTCACTGTTGGCTAATTCCCAGGCTGCATGCTGGGAATGCAGAGGTGAAAAAGGCTCAGGCCCTGCTGTCCACAAGAGGGCCTTTTCCTGGCTGTCATTATTAATCCCCTCAGCTACCTCAACAACCTCCTATCCCTTCGACATTCCTGACCTCCTCACCCAGCTCAATCCGACTGTCCGCACTCAGCCAGAGGATTCTCTAAAATGCAAATCCAGTCTAGCATCTTCAGAGGCCTTCATTATGCTCTCAGAATGAGCACTGGAATCCTTAGCAGGATCTACAAGGACCAGTGTCATTAACCCTGCTCCCTTCACCCACATCTTTGAGGGCCACTCTCCTTTTCACTCTCAACATCTTGGACTTTCTTCAGCAACTCATTCCCCCTTCTTCTTAGGCTTGGCACAGGCTGTCCCCTCTACCTGGAATGTTCTTCCTCTCACCTTCTTTGCCTAATAAACTCCCATTCTTTAGATTTAGATTCTTAGATTCCTGCTCAAATGTCACTTTTCTAGAGAAGACTTTTCCAGCACCCCCAGATCCTTCTCTCTTATAAAACCTACAATAGTATGAAATGCAGTGTTTTAGTATTTCTCTAATTAATCTCTGTCCCACTAGGTAACAAGCTCCCAGAGAACAGTGACCTGTGTGTTTTGCTCAGCATTATATCCCTAGCTACAAGCCAATTGCCTGGAACACAGTAAGCACTCAATAAATGTTGAAAAAATGAATGAGCCTACTCTCACCTTCCAGGAGAGGAAATGCAAAGATAGACAATGTAACTATAATACATTGTGTTAAGATTTCAACAACACAAAGTATCTAGGAACACAGAGGAAGAAGCAGCCAACTTAGTAGGGGTAAGTGAGTCAGGGTTGGATTCCAGGAGGAGCAGCTTTGAGCTGAGGAAAACAGGGGCCTCCCAGGCAGAGGGAACAGCAGGAGCAAAGGCACACAGGCATCTTCTAGTGCTTGGTATGTTCTGGGAACAGAAGGAATCGCATGTGAACCAAATGTGGGTCATGTGTCCTAGTGAGATGGGCAGCAAGGGTGGAGGGTGAGGGCTTTAAGGGACAATTAATGAGTTTAAACTTTATTCAGGACCCCTTAGAAAGCCAGAGAAACCTGCAGATAAGGAAGCATCAGGATCAAAGTTGAGCTTGAGAATAATTCTTCTAGACAGATTGTGAAAGCTGGCCTGAAATGGGAGAGACTGAAGGCAGGGAGACTGGTAAGAGGGTATGGAAACAGTGTGGTGAGAGGTGACAAGACTGTAGACTGAGATGGACAGGAGGGAACATGGGAGGGACAGGTTTGAGAGCTATTT